GATGGATTTTATACCCTGGGGCAATGCAGAAGGAATGAGTTAATGTGAAGCCTTTCTTTGTTCAGTGGGAAAAGGAAATCGTTAAAGGGAGATTTATGTGCAGCCTAGACAGCAGACAAGTTGTTAGATAACTTTTTAGGATGGGAACCATAAAGTGAAGATCTTGACAATGCTTCCTTTTACACTACCCTAACCTACATAAACCTTGAAAAGTCTTTGTGTGCCACAGTTTGACAATCATTTATTCAAGTCATGTAACTAATTTCTCTGGCTGCTTTGCTTGCTCAGTAAGGAGCCCTCTGATTTTAATGTCATTCAAATACCCTTATGCCTGTGAGTAATATGTGGGTCACATTAACAGTAATAACTCACGTTGCGCTTAATTCCATCCCCACCCACTGACGAAACCCCTCATCTTTTGCAGACCCCACCCACCCAATCCCCAATCCAAGAAATCCACATGGCCAAACGTCCTCTCTCACTGGGCATAGGTAGTGTATCACTGCATTACGGCTGTGCTTTCCACACTTTCACGTGGTAAGATTTATTGGAAACCAATAACATATAAGTCCAACTTTGTAAGCCAAAAAATGTATTATTACATTGCTGAGTATCTTTTAAAATACTGTAATTATCACCTTTGTTTAACTTGTACAAGAATGTTTTATTTTTTTTTATCCTCACCCATGGATCTATTTTATTGATTTGGGAGAGAGAGAAACATTGATGCAAGAGAGAAACATCGATGGGTTGCTTCTCAAATGTGCCTTAAATAGGGATTGAATCCAAAACCTAGGTATGTCCTCTGACTGGAAATCTAGCCCACCATTTTTTTGGTGTACTGGACAATGCTCCCACCCACTGGGCCACACAGCCAGGGCCAAGAAGATTTTAAATATTTTAGAATTATTTCTTATTATGCAATGTTTGAAGTATACAAAAGAATTTATGTATATATGTATATCTATATATGTATATATATAAAGTAAACATTAAAATGAATACTTGCAAACCCGTCACCCAAATTAAGAACTAAAACATCACAAGAAGTTTTGTGCTTTCATGCTGTGTCTCTATTCCATTTTCTGTTGTTCTCTCAGAGATAGTCACTATGTTGAGTTTTGTTTTTAGCACTCTCTCTCTTTTTAAATATAAATGTTTATCACATGTATGTATTCCTAAACAACATATTGTTTAGTTTCTCATATTATTTAGCTTTATAAAAATTATATATTCTATGTATTCCTCTGCAACATGATTTCTTCATTCAATATTTCTAAGATTCAGCCACGATACTACATGTATCTATGATTTATTTGTTATTACTGATATAGAATATTCCACTGGGTAAATCATCATAATTTCTGTATTCATTCTCCTGAAATGAACATTTGGATTGTTTTATATATATAAATTTATATATATAGAGAGAGAGAACAGTTTTTGTGATATTGATGTGACCTGGAAGGCAAGGAGAGTGGACTGGAATACGCATGTGTGAACAATGATGACTTCACCGTCCTAGTCAGTGGGGCAGTTGACACCACTGAGTGAGCACATTTTCTGTGTGTCCAGTGCATTCAAAATGACCGAGTGAGTAGAATGACACATCTGCATAGAATTTTGCTTTAAGCTTGAGCATTCCTCTGTGGAAACTATTCAAATGATTCAGAAGGCTTTTGAGGACAATGTAATGAATGTAGCACAAATAAAAATGTGGCACAAACACTTCAAAGATGGCCAAGAATCTGTTGAAAGTGATCCACATTCTGGAAGGCCTGCAACAAGCAGAACACCTGAGAATGTGGAAGGTGTATATCCTGAGAACAAGCAGAACACCTGAGAATGTGGATGGTATACACCATCCATGTGGAAGGTGTATATCCTGCAACAAAGACTCCATGGTGCCTACCTTGAAGGGGACTGAGATGTCATTGGCCTATCTACAAAGTTTCTTGTTTCTTCTTCAACAAATGTAATTTTCATAGCACATGGCTGGATACTTTCTGGACAGACCATATATCTATATCTATCTATATATAAGCTTGGTGTACATATTTAAAACCTTACAAGGTCATTCTGAATTTTTAAAATGTGATTGAACAAATTTGTTAGCAAACAGAAGTGGGTTTTGGCTGCCTGCCGTTGAACACAGGCATATTTTGAAGACAAAGGTTGGTGGGGAAGGAAAAAGTTCTTTGTTAAGATGTTGCACAGCTTGGGGAAATGGGATGCTCATGGCTCCAGGCTCCTTTCTTTCACAAAACACGGAAAAAAATCATTTGCTCCCCAAAAGACTGAAACCCAAAATCACACCCAGAAATCCCACTCCATTCTTTTATGTCCTTCAGAGCACAAGGTTACTAGGCAGACGGCTGTCCAGCTTCAGGTTCCCTGGAGTGTGCTCACCCAGCCTGTACCGCCATTGCCACGCCACAGCTTCCTGCTCCAGGCCTGTGGCCCCTGCCAACCACTGCAGCTGGCCATGCAGGGGCTCCACCTGGGGGGCCTCATGCCCATGAGTGGATCACAGAGGAATAGAAGGGTGGAGTCTCTGCCTCCCCTCCATTTAAATCTCCTGGCCCAAGCTTCTATGCCACCTGGAATGGTTCGGCCCCCAGCCATTTTGGTCCTTTTCCCAGGCTAGGCTGGCAGGTCTGCACCTCCCTAAGCCGCCATGTTCCTGAAGTGACTAGGAGAGCTTTTCATTCCACCAGTGACTCTTGCCAGCTTCTCTCTGACCCCCTGCAGGGCCCCTCTTGTTACATCTCTGTATGAGGGGTAGCAAAATCTGTCTTCATATGTTATGTGCTTTTACTGTTGTCGCCTAGGGCAAACTCCTCCTATGGCCTCTCTCCTGGCCAGATGCTGGGCAGAGGTCTACTTGTATCTATTTGACATCCTCTCTATGAGTGTATAGAAATATCCTTTCGGTTTCTGTCTTCACCAACTTTTAGTATTATCAAACTTCTTAATATTTACCCATGTAGTGATTATAAAATATTATCTCCTTGAGGTCTTAATCTGTAAATTGAAATTTTCACATTTTATTTACCATTTGTGTTCACTTGTACAGTATGCCCGTCATTACCTTTGACCATTTTCCAGTTGGATTTCTATTGACTTACAGGAGTTCTTTATATATAATCTAGGTATTAATTATTTTTCAGTGGTAGATAATATACCTTGAATATATCCTTTTTCACATAAGTTTGTCTTATTCACTTCTCAGTGTGGGTCTTGTACATTTGCCCAGAAGTAGGGATGCCTTATGTTTATGTGGAATAACCAGTTTCCAAAGCACCCTCATAACTCTAATCTCATTTGACCCTCCCAACAACTTTTAAAAAAACAAGGTGGGTATTATTGTACTTGTTTTACAGATAAGGAGAATGAGTGGCTTGCTCAAGGTCGTAGGGCTAATAAGTCTCCAGACTCTTTGTTCCATATCCTTCTTGTGATTATATGATGCTTCAGCTCTTTCTAGATTATGGCCTATTCATTTAAGAAAATACTGCATCTCTGCTTAGTGTCTTCACTTCCATTCCATCTTTTGTTTGTATATAATTAAAAATACAGCTGTAGACTATAAGTTCAATGTAAACTCATTACTTGCAAGATAACGCATGAGTAAAGGAAGCACCAAAAGAATTTTTAATAGAATATATTAAATATAGAGAATATATATATAGAATATATCCTCTCTATATAGAATATATTCTCTATATGTAGAATATATATATCTGCAACTGGGGATTGGACCTACAATTCAGGCATGTGCCCTGACCAGGGATCAAACTGGTGCGTAAGTGTATGGGTCATTTCTAATAGCTCATATATTTCTAATGTAAGGAGAGTGTCATTCCTAGCTGGGCAGCTTCTAGGACTGCCAAGTCTAAAGGACCTCAAAGAAGCAAACTGCCCATTTGAGAGGAAAGTCACCCATGTTTTTATAAGCATGTCTCCAAAGCAACTACTTTTTAAAGGTTTTTGTGGGTCGTATGGCTGTATAATTTAATATCTACTTTGGGACAAGTAGATATTAAATCCATAGGACATTGAGACAATACATCCAAATAGGGGCTATCTCATGCATATGAAAAATATGCTTGCACTCTTTATGGAAGGAAAAGCACCAAAGGCCTTCCATGAAGAGAGGATGGAAGGGCTAATTTGGTAGATTCTTCTCAGTGTAAAAAATGACAAGCTGAAGAGGCTTCCTGATGCCTTTTCAAGGGCAAGTCAGGTTAAGCCAGAGACAATGGATTTGAAGAACCTAACAAGGACCTGGAATCTTTGGCTCTACACTTCTGGTTTTTTAAAGATTCCATACTTTCCCATTATGATTAATAACAATTCTTTAATTAAAGAGTGTTTGTGTTGGACTTTAGGGACAGCAAGAAATGGGCTCTGGGAAAATCTCTATTTTGCTGTCTGTCACCTTGGATGTTGGTGGGGAAAGAGTAAGGAAGAGGTTTTCTGCAAGAAAGAATAGACTTCTTGGGTGAGGGGAGTCTGGAATTAGAAAGAAACATTGAGGCAAAAAGAACAGACTCTGTGAAATGCCTGACACGGCATCTCACCAGCCTGATCAATAAGGCCGTGATCTGAGTGACTCCGTGTGTGAGAGAGTGCAAAGAGTGAGTAAATGCTAAGAGCAGCGTCACTTGCCACTTCGTTCTTTGGGAGTGAGACCAGGGTCTCCTAAAGACATCCTGTGTCCCCGAGCTATTTGTAGGAGCTCAGCGACTGTAGTTTTGAGTCTGCCCTCCCCGAGGGCCTTGAACAGCCCTCCGTGGGGTGCAGGCAGAAGGCTCCCCATGCAAAGGGAGTGTCTGGAAAACCACCAGCCTAAAACTCGGAGCTAGGTCAGGTGCGCTCGGGGGCGGACACTTTCCCCACAGCCCCACCCTATCGTTTCTCAGGCCCGCCCACGACCTAATCTGTGCCTTAAATGGGCCAGCGGCTCCCCACGTCCCAGTCCAGAGGTAGAACTCGGGTCCCCGAAAACGTCCCGGAGGAGGCGAGGGGCGCCGGGCGCACCCACTGCGCCTGCGCGCGCCAGCTCGGAGGTCCCCGCACCCCCTCCCCCTGCGGTCGGTACTTGGTACGACCGGGCGGTTGGTGTCCTCTGTGGCTCCAGCCAGAGGCGGGCTTTTCAAATCTTTGGCGGACTGGCACCTGCCTAGGTTGTGGCACTGGAGATGGAGGGGCTGGCCCAGCGGGGTTCCAAGCTCGGCCTGGCGGGGCTTCCCGCTCAGCAGGTGAGTGAGGAGGGGGCCCGGCTTCAAGCCTTCTCGCCGTGGTTTGGTCTCATCGTCGGGAAAGCCCCCACTCCGCGTGTCCTCGTATTCAACCGTGGCCAGAAACAAAGGGCAGCGCTAGGAGACTGTCCTTCCGAGAGTCTGATGGAACTTGGGAATCTGCACACACTCCTGTCCCCTGTCTCTTGGGGAGGAAAAAGGCCCAGAATGGGGAAGCGATGCCAGAGACGCACTGCGCGTTTCCGGGGGCACCTGTCGGCTGCCCCTCCTCACCCAAGTTTTGGACACCTGTGTCTTTGCAAGTGTAGGTGACGCAAGGTGGGTGGGATCCTCAGGACTTCCGAGAAGCCTACCCAAGGCCAACAGAGGACAGTTTGCTTATTTTACTGGATCTGATGGAAAGCACAATTACTGGAGCAATGTCTACACAGAACATAAATTTGCAGGGGTGGGTAGAAAAACAAACTTCATGCAACCTCTGAACTCTCTTCGTTTGAGAGTGGATTCTTTTTGAGTTGGTTAGAAGTTTGGTGATTTTATTTAGCCTTGTAAATGTGTTACAAACCTTTTTACTTCATATAGACCAGCATTATTTCTTGGCAAAATTAGTCATTAAAATGGCATCCTTTCCACTTTTAACTATAACTTTACGGTCTTAAAAGAAAACGATGTCTTTAATAAAAGTGGATCTTCACTTCCATTTAATCTCCACTTTCTTTTACCTACTTCTGAACTAAGTTAACCCATATGAAATAGCCAGTTTTGTAGGTCAAAACTGGCAGAATATTAGTAATTTTGTATGATCAAAAATACTATCTTTGCTTAGAAACCTGGCAAAACCTTTGTTTGGAAAGCTGTTACTTTTCCAGAATCTTAAAAACCTTAGCAGATACAAAATTATTAGGACGTCTTCAATAGCACTGTGAAAAATTAAGCAAAACAATAATCATTATGCAAAAAGTCCAGTGCCATTGGTGGTAATTTATGCTGTTTTATGCCAGCATTTTCAAACATTTCAAACATTTTGATGTAAAATACTTCTTTTCTGCCCTATCTTGTTATGTACTTTGTCCTGATAACAAAAAATCTTGATTTCTAGTGAATTGGCGATTTATGGCGCCTCTTACACTCATTTTATAGAGCTTGGTGCAGTGGTGAAAGTATATTTATTGAGTTGTGTGCAGCAGTGATATTTAGGAATGATACAAAATAGAAAAGAGGATATGGTCATAAAAGAAATTTAGCTACATGAAATTAAAATAAATATTTACATATATAAGAGCTGGATTACCACATCTACATTCTTTCTGTCTGAATCTTAGAGAAAAATTGCAAAATAGTAATAGGTTTCAACCCGACAGGAATATGGAGGGTCAAGAAGAGCATTTATACTTGACCAACACTGAATTTTTACTTGGCGTTCCTCCTTCGATGTTAATGAACTTGCCATCTAAGAGGGAGGGATGGGAAGAAAGCCTTTGCTCCACTAGTGAAGCGCATCTCCTCAAACCGTGGAGTCGTCTGTGACTACTGCCAGCACAGAACAGCAACTGTCAGCCTCGTTCGTCTCATGGCACAGGAACTATTACTAAAATTTTGCGGCATACCAGAAAAACTATTTTTTGTATAATTTTGGTTCATTCACCTTGGACAGCTATTGTTCCATTGGCTGTTGTCATTTTTTAAATCAGATAACTAAGGGAAAATAGGTCAGTTGCCCTGACTAAATAGTCAGGTATTGCATGTTCTAAAAATTCTTGTGGCGCACCGGTTGAAAATCACTGGCATAGAATATTGACTTCTTGAGTCAGATTAAAGTAAAAACCAAGTCTGCTGGCCGTGCAACCTTGAATGAGTTACCTGTCTTTTGCAAGGCCCAGTTTCCATAGTGGCAGAGTGGGTAATATGCCAGTTCCAGAAATTTGCTGGAATTTGAGAACCTCTTTAAAATATAGTACTTAGTATAGTACCTTGCACTCAGATTGTGTTTGAGAGATGAATATTTTGTTATTATCTTTTGTCCTATTTCTATGAGCAGTTGGGGCTGTCACCTACCTTTTCTTACAAATGTTTAAGCTTTTAAAATCTTCATAAATTTTGAGAAGTAATACAATCACATTGCAGAAAAGTTAATGTATACAGAAGCATGAATTTAAGAATTCTTTCTTCAATTCCGTTCCCCAGAATGATTACTTACACTTTCCAGATTTTATTCTGTATGTAAGCCATTCTTACCATTTCTTTTAGAAGAATGCCTACTGTATACATTCTTCTGCAATCTTTTATCATCTTGGTTTCTTAGCTAACATGGTTTAACTGTATCCATCAGGTGGCTGGTGGTTTCTATCTGGGTTAGTACAGTCGTCTTACCAACAACCCGACTTCATTTTTTTTAATGTCAGTGCTTAATTTGAACATTTAGGCGATTTTCTTTGCACTTCCTTTGTGCTCAGTCTAGCTCCTAAATCCTAGTGAGTTTCTGCTTCTTATGTAATCTAGATTTTTACTTTTACGTCATGTCCCTGTTTCATTTTTAGCCTTGCCTTGTCTATTTATTTTTATCAGCCAGGCTTTAATACATACAAGAGCAAGACAGTTTCATAGGCTTCTGTTGCCTTGATTGCAAGCAAACCCTTATTCAGAAAATTGAAGAAGAAATGGAAAAAGGATGGCTTTCCTCTTTACCCAATGGCCCCCAACTCCACTATTCTCTTTTTTCCTGGGGACATGCATTCAGATACTTGTAAGAGGGATGGATACAGGGACATGTGCTTCTGTCATGGGTCTTAGTCAGTCTTGACTGCCATACGGTCCAGGAAGGAGAGTGTTATTTTTAGCTTCTTACTCTTCCTTTTTGAGGTAAGCATCACCATTGAATGCCCAATGGGTGCCCTCATTACATGATCATTATTTTCACTGTGGATAGCACTAGACATCAGCTTTTACCCCGGGAGCACTTTGCATCCCTTATTAACTAAAGGCAGGTCCTTCAACTCCACGAAGTCTCTATTAGCTAGAGCCCTATCGCTTGAACAGAAAGGTATCGGTGCTGAAAGAAGTTGCATGGAGAATACCAAACTGGCTAATACAGCAGCCCTCACAGGTTTACATCCAATCATCATAAAGCAGGGGAGGCAGAGTCACAGTTAATTAAGTATGCTAATTTGGCTGGGTTAGGAATCAGCAAATTATTTCTGTAAAAGGACAGATAGTAAATATTTTCAGCTTCTTGGGCCAGACGGTCTGTTGAAATTACTCAGCTCTGCCCTTGTAGCTTGGAAGCCATAGACACTACAAACGGGTGTGACTGCGCTTCAATACAACTTTATTTACAAACACAGGCATGGGCTGGGCTGTAGTTTGCTGACCCCGGCTCGAAACGGTAGACTTACAATATTAATGTTTGGTAGATGTATTTCATTTTCATAATAAATATTTAATCTTACAAATAAGGGTTTTTTTTAATCTGACTTTACTTTTTTTCTTCTTCTGCTCCTCAAGCCTCTATAATTTAATAAAATTCTTATTAATAAATGATGAAAAGAAGGCAGTCTTCATTTACAAGATGGAAACCCTAACCAATTCTTTCATGTGGCTGTGGCCATCTACTGGTTCCTTAAGGTGGTTGCAGCTTCCCAGATTGCTGTGGCATTTCAAGTCCCGCAGTGGTTCTCTGCTCTGGATGTATATTGAGTATCAGAGGAACTTGGGGGAGAAATGCTCAGACTCCACCCTCAGAGATCCTAACTGTTTTGGAGTAGGTCATAAGCTTAGGTACCTTTTATGAGGTTTTCCTGTCTGCCTGAGGTCATTCTAATGTACGGCCAGCTTTAAGAACCACCTTGCTAGTTCAACTGGCTGCCTCACGGCAGCATTTTAAAAAGCAAAATTGAATCTAATGGTTTCAGATGGTATTTGTTTGTCTGTGAGGTGCGGGGTAAAGCTATTCATCCCAGCTTCAAGTTGCTCCCTCTGTGTACTCTCCAATTCTAGCCAGCCTGCCAGAGTGTACTCATATTTCTATAGACATATGGGTCACATAGATAGTCTTATAATTAATTACTAATTACATTAAAGAAGAATTTACTTCGGGCCTGACAAGTCATGAAAAGACGAAATGGAGCTGTTGGAGTTCAGTCATGTGTAAAGAAGGAAAACCATCAAATGCCTGCTTTTATACAGTACACCAGTTTCGAGTTATACTACAAGAGAAGATTTTTATATGTAATGTAATTACAGAAGGTAATTAAGCAGATCTGTTTTCTGCAGTGACTAGCATATTGACTGATTTGAATAGTCATCTAGTTCATCTAGTTCTCTTTGGGTAATCATTATAGGCTATTACTTTCCTAACTTTTAGCTTTTCTTTTTGAAAAGATTATCTTTTTAACATCTGGAACTTTTTAAATGTTTTTTTTTAGATCCTTGCCCAAGGACATGCTTATTGATTTTTTTACACAGAGGGGAATGGAGGGACAAAGACAGGGAGGAGAACATCCTCTGAGAGAAACATCGATCAGTTGACTCTTGTATGTACCCAGACCAGGGACCAAACCTGCAATGTAGGCAGGTGCCCTGACTGGGAATTGAACTTTCAACCTTTGGGTTTCAGGACAAGGCTCCAACCAACTGAGTGAGCCACGTCAGCCATGGCAACATTGGGAACTTCTATTATTAGATTTTTTAATCTAATTCACTTTTTAAAATTTAGATTTTGATCCAAATAAAAGGTGAATTATAGGCTTCATTTTTTACCACATAAACCAGGATGGCCATTTTATTTTAAAAATAGCTGTATTCGACCATTATTATGTGTTTGTAGTATAGTATATGATGATTTATAATTTTTAAAAAGCCACTATGAAATCAGAAAAGTCAGTTCTCAGAATTTTAATGTTAGTATGAAACTAGTATATAGAGTCAGGCCATAACAAGATCGTTGTATGGAATAAAAGACTTTCAGAACTAAAATTATTTAGTAGTTTTATGGTAACTCTTAGAACTAAAATATATCTGAACCTATACTCTAAATCTCTGTTCCAAGTAGCTAAAACTTATGATATTTCCTAAGCACAGTGCTTTCACTCCGCTGCTTCTGAGATTTTATTTACATTGCTTACCATGGCCAGTAGTCCGTTCTCTCCTGAGCCTTTGTTTGTTCAGAATCCATTTTAGAAAGTTTTTCCTTCATTAATTCTGTGTCATCAACCACAAGTTGCCGTTCTACAATACAGCTTATATAAGATGTACATGTGCTATGTTGTTCACATTAGTTATTATATTAGTTTCCCGAGGCTACCATCATAAATTACCAGAACTAGGTGGCTTAACAACAGAAATTGATTCTCTTGTAGTTCTTCTGGAGGCCAGACGCCTGAAACCAAGGGATCTGCAGGGCCCCGCTCCGCTGAAAGCTCTGGAGGAGAAAGAACCCTTCCTTTCCTTTTCCAGCTTCTGGTGGTTGCTGGCAATCCTTGGTCATCCTTGGCTTGGTCTCACTGTTCCACTCTCTGCCTCCATCTTCCCATGAAATTTTCTCTGTGTGTTTTTCTATGTCCTTACACATCATTCCTGTAAGGGCACCAGTTCTTGAATTTAGGACCCACACTAATTCATTATGACCTCGTCTTAACGAGTTACATAAGTAAACTCTGTAGCCGAATAAGGTCGCATTCTGAGGTTCCAGAGGACAGACTGTTTGGGAGACACCATTCAACCTTGTGCACTTATGGTAGGAATATATCAGGTTTCTTGCCTTTGTTTCTGTTCTTTTTATCCAATAGCTTGTAAAGACTTCCAAATAAAGCAAGAAATGGTTTTGCAAAGAGCTTTTCAAAATAGCTCTATTTTTTATACTGTAGTACATGAACTTTGTTACTTTCCCAATGTGGTATAAAACTATAATGATATCGAGTACATTTACCTACTGGGGTAAAAAGAAGTGTTATAATTTTGTATTTTTGCTATTTTTAAAAAATGCTTTTCTCTCTTTTTTTAAGGACTGTAGCATTCAAGAAAAAATAGCTTTAGAAATTCGGATGCGGCAAGGAATATGGAAACTCCTCTCTCTGAGCACTCAGAAAGACCAGATTTTACATGCGGTGAAGAATCTCATGGTGTGCAATGCTCGAATAATGGCTTACACATCCGAGCTGCAGAAATTAGAAGAGCGGATTGCAAGTCAAAGTGGAAGAGGGTTAGTGGCATAGTTTACTTACGGTGCACTTAAACATTTGCATTAAAAACATGATATAATTTAACCTTAAGGTCAAATGTCAAATCAGCAAAGCCTTTAAAGAATAAGTATCCTGAAATAGTCTCTGATCCCATAAACATTGTGACAGTAGAGCTCAGGGTAAACTTACTGTGAAGCAGCATGTTTCACAGGGCAGTTTGGTTGTGCTCAGTACTTCCAGATTGTAAAATTAAGTGGTTGAAAAGCAAGAACCTACAGAATATTTTAAGAAGGACCAAGAATAATAGTTGAGTAAAAAGAAATGTAAAGTAAAGGAAAAACTAGTGGCTTAAAACTATGCTAACAAAGAAGGTACTAGCCGAGAATAATGGAAACTTAGGTGTATAAATGGAAATCAGTGGACAGCACAATCAAAATGATATAAAATCTTATAAATGGAAGGGAACTTAAAAATCTGCTAGCGTATTCTCTTCATTTGGTGAATAGAAGTCTTAGGCAAGAAACTTACTAAAACGTGTAACTAGCTCGTGGCAGAAGCTAATGAGTGGTGAGTTAGGATTGCTGAGTAACTTCTGTGTCTTGTTCTCTGTCACTTCAGGACACACTTTGGGATCAGGTCTAGGATTTGTGTATGAAATTTATATCAGATCCTATTTGCAGTGCCAGGTCTTACTGGGGCCCAAGAATTGACTCAGCTTAGTGGCTAGATGTTGATTTTTTTAATACATAAATGGTCTCACATTACTCACTGATGACCAGTCTCAAAGATCTAGCATGGGTAAACATTTCTTTTTAGACATTAGTGGCCTTTGGTCTGTTCACAGAACCATCTTACATTTTTGAAAAGTAAGGTAAAATAGAGATCATAGAAAGAGGTTTTTGTAAAAATAAAATGTTGATGAGATTGTGACACAATAAGCCTTGTGTATAAAGTAGCTAACGTTTGTTAGCTGTATTTCCTCAGGATAGCTATTTAATCTTTGTGCCTCATTTTCTTCATTACAGTTGGCATGAGAATATTTACATTTGAAAATCAAGATTATATATAAAACCTATTTTAATACCTTTTACATAATTAGTACTCAACAGATGTCAAATGATTTTTATTATTTTTTATCCCTGGCATTATATAGTGAGGTTATTCCACTATCATAATATAGGAAAATAATTTTCAGACAAGATCAGGCACATTTAGGGTGGTATCGCCATAGACAAGGACAATAATTTTCAAGTATACATGGCATACACTGGTTTAAGTCAGCACTTCTCAAACCAGGTCACATTTATCACTGAGGGTACAGGATTCTATGCCAGGAGATATGCAAAGCCATAGAATAAATATGGCATACCTTCTTATTACATGAATTTTAAGGTGAAGCATGAGAAATTTAGAATTGTGGCATAGTTTGGGGTTTTTGTACTCATGGGGATGGGTGTGTGTTCTTTTCCCCAGGCTTTATAAGGGTATTTTATCAAGGAAATATATTTCAGTGGAAAAGTTTAAGAAGCACTGGTGTATACAGTGTGAGACTAAATATTTTATCATCTCTCACAGTTATATAGAATATTCATCTGGGAACCATATCTGTCCTCCAAATTTATGTTTTTTAAGTATCTATGGGAGATATATTCTGACACCCCTCCCATGTAATGCCTGAAACTGTGGATAGTACCAAACCCTGTTCAGTTTATTTAATTCTGCTGTAAATGTGGCAACAGCTGCTTCATCTGCAGACGCAGCCTCCCCAGTAATTTATATATTTTTCAGCCCACAACTGTTCCTGAATCTATATAACCATCCCCTGTTTTTACAGTAAATGGCTTTGTGTCATTTGTTTTGGGGGATCCCTTGCTAAAGTCCTCATACAGGCTCCATGCTACCCGGAGTAATACATTGCCCTTGATTGGGACAGGTTTTCTGTTCATTTCTTCTACCCACAAATTTAATGCCTTGTTCATCTTAACTAAACACTTTCTGTGTATTGCGCCACGGCTACAATGTTTTTTTAATGTTTTAAATCCTCACCTGAGGATATGTTTATTGATTTTAGAGAGAGGTGAAGGGGGAGAGAAAGAAACATCCATGTGAGAGAAAAACATCGATCAGTTGCCTCTTCCTGCACACGCCCCTACCAGTTATCAAACCCACATTTAGGTATGTGCCCTGACCAGGGATCGAACCCACGACCTTTTGGTATACCAGGACAGCGCTCCAGTCAAGTGAGCCACCTGGCCAGGGCTGTGACTGTAACTTTTGCAGTTTGGGCACAACTGATGGTCTAGCACAAATTTCCTTTTCCGTCTTCAAAATTTCATGGATAGAGTTGTTCCGACTACAGTTCTTGGTAACTTCAGCACACAGCTTTTTTCTTGCCTATTAAGTTGAGAACTTCTACTTTTGCTGTGGCATATCCAAATTGCCAGACCACTACTATTGTGTATTGGGGCCATTAAGTAAAATAAAAGTTACTTGAACATAAGCGCCGTGATACCGTGACAGTTGATCTGATCACTGAGGTGACTAGTTAGTGACTAACGGGCAGGTAGGGTTTAACAGAGTGGATATGCTGGACAAGGAATGAGTGATATTCCAGCAGGGACAGAGTAGGATGGCATCAGATTTCATCACACCACTCGGAAATGCATGCAGTTTAAAACTTATGAATTGTTCATTCTAGAATTTTTCATTTAATATTTTGGACTGCAGTTGACTATGGATAACAAATTGTGAGAAGCAAAACCGTGGATAAGAGGAACGTACTGTAAAATGAATTGTGAGTTGGTCATTTTCTCAACTTGGCTGTATGACTTTTCTGAAGTTACTGACTTATAAAAATGTTAAATAAGGCCCAGGCCAGGTAGCTCAGTTGGTTAGAGCATTGTTCTGATACGCCAACGTTGCGGAATTCAATCTCTGGTCAAGGTACATACAAGAAGCAACTAGTGAATGCATTAATAAGTGGAACAACAAATTGATGTTTCTCTCTCTCTCTCCCCCTACCTCTCTCTACAAAATAAATCAATCAATAAAAAATTTTTTAAACGTTAAATAAGTTGAATTCCTGTTGGATTTATATAAGAAAGATAGAAAAAATATTTTGGACTCTCAAATGAAGATGTAATGATTTTTAGCTCCTCTACTGGTTATCTTTGATAGATGAAAATAGCTTTGATGCTACACACATTTATTTTTCATCATTCATATAAAAACATTGTCTCCCTTAATTATTGAATTATTTTCATCTTTTAGAAAATCTGGGTATTCTATATTCATTTTTTGTTTATGACTTCATTTTATCATGTGCAGATATAACCTGAGTTCACAGACCAAATATAACTGGAAAGGTAGTTCTCGCCTTCTTATTACATAAAAATGATCCAAAGATTAATGAGAGTCTAACAGTAGGGTTTTGTTCCTTGAAGAAAATTATGTAGTCAATCAACTATTTGATTGACTCAACTATTTGATTGACTCAATCAATCAAATTTGATTAGTCAATCAATTATTTACCAATATCTACTACTTATAGAACACTTACTAAGTACTTTGCTAGTATATCCAAATCTAAAAAAAAGGATTTGTCAAAATATGGGGACATATGAATATTCAACAGTCAAATATTTTTTCTTTTAAGCCATAGAAGTGTGTTCCTTAGCTTGGTTTTAATAGTCTTCAAAGTAGAAAAGTGCCCTGTTTTCATATTGCTACCAGAGTTAAAATAGCATTTTAATGAGTCTACTAACACTAGCCTACCTTCTCTAAAATTGTATGATAAAATGTAAAAAGAAAAATACAAATAATACATCTTGACCTTTAAAAAGAGGAATCAGATCAGTAAGAAATGGTATAGTTAAGAAAGGTTTAATGGAAGAATTGGGCCTGAAGCTTCTAGATCGTGGAATCTAGATCTAGATAGAGTCTGGTCAGGTAAGTAGGGGAAGGAAGCATTCCAAAAAAGGAAGATAACAAAATAAAAGCTGAGGGTGGAAGATGAGCCTGAATTATTCAAGAGCAATGAAAAGTTATGTTTGGTTGAGGTTAAAGATCAAGCCCAAGTTGAAAAGGAAGGGGGGGTGTGGTAGGAAGATTCAAGAACATTTGGAATGCTGGGAAGTTCATTGGTGCTGACAGCCTTTCTAGGTGCCAGACTTTGTGCTAAGTGTTCACAAATGCCACCTTATGAACTGAGAGACATATAAGCCTATTTATTAAATAAATATTCAGAAACTAGGTCTTAGAAATATTAGGTAACTGTTTCAAAGGGCACAGAGTGACTCTGGCCAGGATGTGAACCCCGATGACATGAGCATCCCTCACCCGCCAAGAAGAAGCCCATGGATTTTGTACTACCCCAAGCTGCCCTAGGAGTTCTTACAGGACTTTACATTTATTTCATTGTTTATCCTTTATTGTTTTATTTTCTGCAAGAAAGAGACATCATGAAATGGATATTTGGGAAGGTTATCTTGTAGTAGACTATTGAAAAGGATGGTGAAGAAAAATAATTGAAATAACCAATATTTAGGAAATATGTGTAAGAATAAGGCACACATAAAAGTGATCAAATAGTAACTTTTGATGAAAGAATTCAGGAGATCAGAACAGTGCCTGAATTTTGTGTTTTTCTAATAAATCTTCACTCAGAGTTCTCTCAATTTATTAAAATAAGCAGATATTTTCACTTCATTTTACAGCTTTTTAAAATCAGGATTCCAGGAAAGAATTAAGCCCTAATACCCCAAGTCATGCATTGCATACAGTGACTTCACTTTTGTGTATCTAGAATAGTGCTAATTTGGTGTCATTCTTGGGAAAATTGAGAAAATAGTCATTCTTTGGTTTAGATGAGGAACCTCCCATTGAGCAATCAGTTATATAGTCGTATCATTTATATTTTTAGAACTACATATCTGAGAATATCAGTAACTGGTCAAATGTCCTAATACCATAATGTCCTAATTATATAGCAAAAGCTTGTTCTAATTAATTGCACATAGTT